AGGAATCATCTATTCTGAATACCTAAATACTTAATGCTCTGGGTTCCCTCTTCCTTTTCCCTTCTTTAGCGCTTGCTTCCATTTCAAGGTCAGGCATCTTGGCAACACAGTCGCTATTTAAATATAGAGCAGTCTAATGAGGAAAGGCTGATGAAAACTCATGCACTAAAAAGCAGATAATAATCATCACATTAAGAAGTTCATTAGTAAGAAATAAATGTTGTGCTGAAAATCCCAAATTGGCCATAATAAAATCAGCCTTTCCCAAAGATTTTGGGACTGCATAATCTCAGCTAAGGAATTCTGGAATTACAGTCTTAGCACGTCTCAGAGGTGGCAAATCAGGAAAGATGTTGTAGATACAAATTAAAAAATATGAAATTAATGAATTAGATGTTGTGATAGGCAAGAATAAAGTTTGACAATAGGTAACTGGTAGTGGTGATAATACTTGCTAGCATTGAACAGAGAAGGCTGCTTTGATGGCATTCCAGAGAAGAGAGGGTCCCATCATGTTCCGTAGATGTCTCCTACCTACAGAGCTGGGAACAGGGTTTTCCCAGAAATGTCAGGGTAAGTCTTAATCACAATTTCCTTGTGATTAAGGAAAGGTTTTTTTCTTTTTTCAGTTATCTGCTCTTTCTTTTCATTTCCCTTTCCCAGCCCAAGCATAAAGGCTAAGATCCCCGCTTTCTTCCCTACCACCTGGCACTACCTGCCCGAAGCAAAGATTCAGTAACCACTTAAGTTCCACATCTCATAACAAGCTCCATTGAGTAACAAAAGGAAACAGCCTATCATCTCTCTTTTTCTTGGGAGTGATAGGATAATAATGTTTAAATTTCATTGATTGATTTTTATATTCCTTTTCTTTAAACAGGTTAGGTTGGTAAATATTGATGGTTCCCCCATTCAAAATGGATAATTTTGCTGCTGAATTTCACTGGTAGTTATGAAAAAGCCAGAATTGTTTGTTACAGTGGTAGAAAATGTACACCCTGATATCTTTTAAGATAATGGGCAATAATGATAAAAAGAGATTAACTTTGTGCCAAAAGGAAGTACTAAATCAAGTTGTATGGAAGATAATTTATGTTGTCAGTGATCATTTTAACTTCATCTGCTATGAAGGCATATGAATAAATTGCACCCTCTTAAGAAGAGAAACATGCATAATAGAAGACAGATTAACATAGGTTTCTGTATAGTATGAATCTGTATATTTTACAAACTAACAGTACCCATGGTATGCTAAAAAGAGGAGGAAACATTGAAGGACATTATAATATCACTTGTACTGGGAAATTAGTGATCCCTCCCTTCTCATGTACCAATTCTCACCCGAATTTTTGTGCAAACAATGAACAATATTAGAAGGATTAAATTTCATTGAGGTTATTTGGGAAAATAAAATGTTAAAATGACGTTGAGTGATAAATCACACATGAAGTATTAAATGGATTTTAAACCTTTTTTTATATTTGTCTATTTGAGTATTTGCTACCTGGCATTATGGTGGTTGCAGTTCCAATTGTACTGTGCTGCTGTGTACAAATGCCCCTGACCAGGAACAGTGGGAGAGATTCATTATGACACTTCACCCCATCCCCACTCCCACCCCAGAGATTAGCCGAGACTGTGCCCTTTCCTTCTCTTATCCTCTCCTGGTAGTCTTCCTGCCTGAACAAAGCTACGGTTGGATGGCTCACTTGTCTTCATGTGTGCCACTGACAAAGACAAGCACTGTACAGATAACTAGCCGGTGGAAAATTTCATTATGAAATGCTCCCCCCCTCCCCCCCCCCAAAACCTCAAGTTAAATATTAGATTTAAGATCAGTGTTGGCTAGAACAAGATCCTCATCCTGTCTGACACACCTGGATCCTCTGAGGACTCTTATCCTCCTCTGTAACCAGGTACTGCAAAAATTCACTTGGCCTGCTGAATTTAAGGAATGACTTATTGCCCATTGTTCTCAGCAAGGGGCAACAACTATTTCAGCTTGGCTGATCTCCAAAAAGGCTAAACAGGATTGGGCTTAAGTGGTATTTGGATGAGAGATCACCAGGAGATTCCAGAGCTGTAGACTAGATAGGGAACTAAAACAAAAGCAAACACACAAACAGACAAAAAGTGCAATCCTGGAAGAAGAAGAAACAGCAAAGCACTTCTTTGTTACTGCCAAGAAAGCCGTATGGATGCGCTCATGTTATTATCAGGAGCTGAGCTCAACTTGAGGGAAACTATAGCTTTATTTGGTTAGCAGTAGAAGTTGATAGTCCTTAAAGTTATCACTATCTACTGAGTTATCAAAGCAGTTGGGTTTTTAATATAGAAGGATACCTCCCCTGAATAGCCTGATGGCTCCCCTTAAGACCTAAGGAACCACCTTTCCCACTATGAACCTGCTAGCTTCTTAGATGAGTAGGAGAATGCCCCTACTGCCAGAAGCTTGTGGGAGAGAGTCTTCTCCTAAATGGCTCCCAGGCTGTGGATTGCCTTTCCTATGGAGATGTGTTGGGCTCCTCTTCTTCTAGTATAAGGAAAATTGGGGGGGGGGGGATCTCTTCCATCATGCTTTTAACTGTTAATTGATTTTAACTGTGTTGATTTTAAGGCAATATTTTATTCCAATAGAAGAGAATATTTCATATTTGTGTTTATATTTTAATTGTTGTAAGTTCCCTTGAGTGCTTATATAAGCAGAACAGCAAGATATATCTATTTAATAAACAAATAATGCTATATGTAACTTCCTAGGAGGCCCAAAGCAACAACATGGAATTTCTCCAGATCAGAATAGTTGCAAGAAATAAAATATGTATCTTGTTAAATTCCAGCCAAATAAACAAAGAAAATCTAGGTTCTAGATTTCAAGGTAGTATCATAGGCTGTACCATATCCATAATAAGTAAGCATCCGTAATCAAATTGTTATCTTGGTTATCTGGCAGAAGATACAGTGGAGACTGGAGGGAGCAAGACCAGCAATGGGTCTTGGTTGTATAGGTTTTGGCCTATCTTGGCCAGACATAGTATCCCACTCTTCTATAGCAGCGGTTGTCAAAGTGTGGTCCAAGATCCTTTCAGGGGGTCCATGAGGTCAAATAAATATATGTTTTAACATTTCTCAGTTTTAATTTCTAATACACTACATATTGATAGATACAACCCACATAAACCAAAGCTCTTTGGGGTCCTCAATCATTTTTAAGAATGTAAAGGGCTCCTGAGACCAAAATGTTTGAGAACCGCTGGTCTATAGGATATTGGATGGAATTAAACAAAGACTAATCCTCATTGCAATGTAAACTGTTGCCCCATTGGCAGAAAGGAAGGTAGGCAGGGGTGCCAGGATTAAACAAACATCAGGTACAGAGCATAAATATTTACATTTCAACTAACGTGTGGTATGCACTTGTTTAAATGTATTTAGGTGTTTTTTTTTTCCTCCTGAATGAATTGATGGCATATTTTTACATTCCCTGATAAGAATAAAAGAAGATGTTGAAGCTAAAGAAATGGAGCACAGGAAAAAAAAAGACTTGTCCACTTACATCAATATCTTCTTTTTTATTGGGGAACTTTTCTGACTTAGGTATTTATTTCCTTGAAAGTAAGAAATTGAGTTTTACACTGAACCAGATCAATGTCCAGTTGTAATCGGTACTATCACTCACAAGGCTCAGCTCTTCTGAGTCACAGATAGTTCTGTGACTATCTGAGTCACGGATAGTTTACAGGAAATCCATTAACTAGAAGTACTAGAAATTAGGATGGGGCTTCATGCATGCAACATCTGTATGCTATCTCTGATCTAATGATAAAAGTAATTAATATTTCTCTAGGTCACTGCATTCAATTTGATTGTTTTCCAGAGCTTTCCCTTGTGATTATGGACAAAATAAATTTTCATTCTGCCTCAGAAAGCAGCAGTCAACTTGAATATTGAACTCTTACTGATTTTTGATTTTCCATAATCACCAGGAGCAAAGTTTAGTTCCAACTTCATTGGATGGCTCCAAATTGAGAACGGTTGTGCCATTATATTTTCTTCCCACTTTCTTCTCCAAATCTCCCATGTTCCTTATTTGTCAAACAGAGCCCCACCCAATCCCAAGGAAGCTTCTTTTTCTTTTTGGTTAGAATTTTTTAATATACTAAACGATACAAAACAAGCAAGAACAAAGATAGAAAATAAGAAACAGAGATACAAGTAAGGAATTGAAAAAGAAAAAAAATGTAATTGTGCCTTCTGCCCTTTTTTCTATCAAATGATTATCATCTCAAACTTTTCTCCAACCTCTTTGCCTCATTTTTAATCCCCAGATCATCAATTCATGTTTCTCTTCTGTCAGCAAAAAGTCCATATAAGGTTTCCAGTCTTTTAAAAAAGTCTTTATCATTTTTTCTCTGACCAAACTGGTCAGCTTTACCATTTCTGCAAGTTCAGTTGATTTAATAATGTAATCTTCCACTGTGGGCATTTCATTGCTTTTCTGACTTTTTGCATACAATAATCTTGCTGCTTTTTAAACAAAGTTCTTTTCCACATTCAGCTCCTTTCCGTTCCAGATAAAGTTTTAATGACCATTTTCATCGTAATTTATTCTCCACATCTAGCTGTCTTCTATGATCTTGTCCCCACACCCACGTGCTTGATTTTCTTCATCTAGACTATGAGGTCTATTACACACATAGAAAATTGGTGTCAAATGTACAACATATCTCCTTCTTGCAAGCTGTCCTAGTTTCAGAATAACAGCTGATTATTTGGGTTATTGCAATAACCAATCTGTTAAACTAATCACATTGTCGTAAATCCTGTCCAACTTCAGAACACAAAAGCAAGCTTACTGAAAAACAGCTGT